TCGAGACAGGGACGGCGCGGTGCTCGCCAAGGTCAGCAAGCAGGTGTACAGGTGCGGGGAGGCCATAGCCATGACCGACGTCGCCGACTTCGCGAACTGTTCTATGGTGCGCAGGGTCGAGGTGGGAGAGGCCCTGGAGCTGCTGCCCGACGCAGAGGTGCAGCCCAGCGAGGGCGGCGCCAGGCGGAAGTTTCGCGCGTGCCGGGACGGCAGCGTGGGCTGGGTCACGACCTTGGGGAGCCAGGGCACTGCATACGTCGCGCCCGCGCCGCGCCACTACATCTGCCTGCAGGCGGCGCCGATACACGCGGGCTTGGGCGCCGAGAGCGCAGTGGTTCGCGTGCTGATGGAGGGCGAGGCGTTCGCTGCATTCGAGGAGCCCAGGGACGTGGCCGGCGCCCAGCAGGTGCTGCACTACTCTGTGCGAGCAATGAACGATGGGCTCGAGGGTTGGATTTCAGCCACGGGCTCGGGCGAGGTGCTGCCGTGGTCGGCCAGATACACCGTCCTGAGGCCGGTGCAGCTCACCAGCTCTTTTGCCGCCAACGAGGCCGCCGAGGTCATCGAGGTCGTGCGGCTGCTGGAGGCGGACGAGCTGGTGGAGGCCACGGAGCCCCCCGCCGAGGATCCGTCCACGGGGCAGATCCGCGTGCGCTGCGTCGCGCTGCGGGACAAGGCGGTCGGCTGGGCCACCGTGCGCGAGGGCGGCGCGCTCTCGATGCGGCCCGCGAGCGCCGCGGAGGCGTCCACTGCGCGGGAGCCCGAACCAGCGGCGGCGCCCTCCACGCCCCCGGCCGGGCCGCAGGCCCCCAGCACGCCGCCGAAGGGGGGCTCGGGCAAGGGCACCAAGCGGCCAGCGCCGCCCACGGAGCCGCCGTGGGGGAAGGGCGGCGGCAAGCGGCAGAAGGGCAAGGGCTGGAGGTGACAGCGGGGCGCCTCGTGCGCGCTGGCCGGGCGGCGGGCTGGCATCACTCGTTTTCTGTGACGAGCCTCGGACGTGCGAGCAGAAAGGGGGGGGCGGTGCTGAGTGGGTCTTGTCCAGATGCGCTGCAGCGCATGAGGCACCGTTGCCGCCGTCACTGGAGCGAGAAATGGGACGCATGCATGCTGGGCTCCATGCCTCGGTGGGCCTGAGCCACAACCAAGGGGGCGAGACAGACAGACAAACAGACAGACAGACAGACAGACAGGCAGACAGACAGACAGAGACAGACAGACAGACAGACAGAGACAGACAGACAGACAGACAGACAGACAGACAGACAGACAGACAGAGACAGACAGACAGACAGACAGACAGACAGACAGACAGACAGACAGACAGACAGACAGACAGACAGACAGACAGACAGACAGACAGACACACACGCACGCACGCACGCACGCACGCACGCACTCACGCACGCACGCACGCTCACAAACGCACACAAACGCACACACACAAACACACACACACACACACTTCTTGGCGTCGGCGGCTAGGCGGAGAGTGACTGCGCTGGCGATACAGGCATCATAAACGGGGGATTCGTTGGAGCGAATTGTGCCACCATGCAGGAGGAGGAGGGAGAAGGCACGTGGCCGAAGGGACAGAAGGACGGGGCGGGCGGCTCGGGGGCCAGAACGCTCCCCGAGCGTGTGGCGCGGCCGGCCCCGCCGCCCAGCACGCGGCGGCTGCTGCGGCGGCGGGTGGCAAGCGGGGGGGGGCGTCCCCCTCTGGTTCTCGGGATGCCAGGGCTCGGGCGAGCCGCGACGCTCAAGATCCCCCTCTGGGGATCGTCAACTCGATCCTGCATGCTCCTAGGCCAGGGGGCCAAAGGCCAGAGTTTGCTCGATGGAGGGAACATGGAATGCACACAAGGATGAAAAGGAAGACGGGCAGAATGGGGATGAGAAAAATGAGACAGGGGATACCAAAGGTTTTGGGAGGACGGTTTTGCAATGACTCTTGGGTTCCTCTTGGGCACTCTTGGGCTGTCTATGGTCTGGCTGTCTCTCTTTTGGGCCGCCTTGGACCGTCTTGGCGGCACATAGGGTCGTTTGGGGCTTCTCTTGTGGTCTTCTTGGGCCATCTTGGGGCTCGCCTAGAACCCCCTCGGGCCATCCTGGGAAGTTGCTCAGCCAGTCTTAGGCCTTTGTCGGGGCCTCTTCAGCATTGGGCCTGTCTGGTGGGGCTCCCCTTGGAGCCTCCGTTGGGGGTTCTCGTGCTCTTCGTCGGGCCTCTTGGGGCCTCCTGGCATGAGTTGGACGCCTATTGGGCCGTCCAGGCTGCCGTGAACTCCTCGGGCCGTCCCGAGCAAAAGGCACGAGAATCGGCGCTCCCGGGGATGGGCTGGGGAGGGCTGCGCATTGCCCATGCAGGTGCCCAACGGGTAGATATCTGGAGGGGCGGTGCCGGGAGATTCCCAGAGGCGTTCAGAGGCCCCCCAGGCAACAACCCTCCATCTTGGGGGAGCATGAGGATTGGATGAGAAGGGGGGGAGGAGGAAGAGTAGCGGGAGGAGGATGGCAACTGTTTTTGAGCTAGAGGTTGAATTTCCCATCAGGTCTGATTGGGTCGAATATGCAGGCGCGAGAAGGTACCCAAGTGATACCCAGCATCTTGAAGTTCGCCACCAATGCTTCAGAGCCCTCATCGGATGTTCGCTCATCGCTGAGATGGTCTGCATTGTGAGAGCGCTCGCTCGTCACTCTGGCGCGTCCGACGGCGGCGGCAGAAACGACGACGCCAGCGAGGACTCGCGAGGACTGCAGAGGGGGAACGTGGAGGAGGAGGCGAAGGAGGAGGAGGAGGAGGAGGAGGAGGAGGAGGAGGAGGAGGAGGAGGGGGAGGGGGAGGAGGAGGAGGAGGAGGAGAGGAGGAGGAAGAGGAGAGGAGGTGGAGGAGGAGGAGGAGGAGGAGGAGGTTGGCTCCCTCTTGCCCCCCCCCCCCCCTTCCCCCCTCCCCGCACCTCGAGAAGCGAGGCCTCCTGGTGGCGTCCGCCCCCCCCCCTTCCCGAGCGCGCGACGGCACGAGCCGCGATCGCGCGCGGCGCACGGCGGTGGAGCAGGGATCGCTGACACAGCGGTGCGCAGCAGCAGTAGTAGGAGGAGGAGAAGGAGGAGCAGCAGGGAGGAGGAGGAGGAGGAGGAGGAGGAGGAGGAGGAGGAGGAGGAGGAGGAGGAGGAGGAGGAGGAGGAGGGAGGAGGAGCAGGGAGGAGGGAGGAGGAGGAGCAGGGAGGAGGAAGGAGGAGGAGCAGGGAGGAGGAGGAGGAGGAGGAGGAGCATGGAGAGGAAGATGATGCTGATGATGATGATGATGATGCTGATGATGCTGATGATGATGATGATGATGATGCTGATGATGCTGATGCTGATGCTGATGCTGATGCTGATGCTGATGCTGATGATGATGATGATGATGATGATGATGATGATGGTGATGATGATGATGACAAAAAGTTTGATGCTGCTGCTGATGGTGCTGATGATGCTGATGATGACGATGAGGATGTTGATGTTAATGATGCTGATGATAATGATGATGCTGATGATGATGATGATGACGACGACGATGTTGATGACGATGACGACGGCGACGACGATGGTAATAGTGATGCTGATGTTGATGATGATGCTGCTGATGTTGATGACACTGATACTGACACTGATGTTGGTACTGGTACTGATACTGCTACTGGTACTGATACTGATACTGATACTGATGATGAGGGTGAGGATGAGGATTAGGAGGAGAGGGAGGATGAGAAGGAGGAGGAGGAGGAGGAAAAATATTCCTTCTCCTGTCTCCTTGGCGGTCATCTGTTGCTTGAGCTTCTACTCAGCCGCTGGCGTAACGCCACGTTGGCTACCTAATTTGATCAATCCCCCAGGGGCGGACTGGGCCTGGGGGGGGGGGAGGGCTGCGTCGGCACGACACTCCAGCCAACAGGCAACAGGCAACAGGAGGAGTCCCCGCAGTCTCCGAGTGACCGCACCGACTTGTGCCATGGTCACGTCCTCCGAGCGGCGCTGGCAGTGAGCCGTCTTCGGGGGGCCACGTCCGCCGAGGGACGCCGGCAGTGAGCCGCCCTCGGGCGGCTCGGCCGCGCCCCAGCGCCAGCAGCGCCCCGCAGCCGCGAGGACGGACCCGGGTGCGGCAGGCGGCCACTGCGCGGCCGACTGCACCACACGGACGAGCCCGCGAGCCCGCGAGCTTGCTGCCCCGCCCCAGACGTTTGCCGCCCCGCCCTGGAGTCCGGCCACGCTGCTCCGCGCGACACCACCGCGGGACTCGCACGCGACCGCACGCACCCCCGAGCGCCAGTTGCTGGCATCCTGGCAGCGCGGCCGCGAAGCGGTGCGCGCATGGGGATCCTGGTGGCACGACTGCGTCCTGCCCCCGAGCTGCCACGAAGCCCAGAAGCCACGAATCGGTTGCCCCGAGCCTGATGGAGCTTCCCCTCGAGCCCTCTGCCTTTGCTGATCGTGATGGGGCGAGGCAAGTCGGAGAGGGGGTAGGCGGGCTGAGAAGGACGGCGACAGCGCCGCCGACGACGCCGACACGACGTTGGCGGCGCCGCCGACGACGACGCCAATGATGCTGCCGAGCCTCGTTCCCATTACCAAGCGTCAACGTCCCGAGCATCTCCTAGCCTCCCGCCCCGCGGAGCGGAGCGACACGCTATCAACTCGCAGGGCATATTGGGTCCCTGGGGCCGCCGCGGCGACACGATCAGCTCCCCCGCCTCCCCATCATCCCCGGCGACACCGGCGCCGACGCCGCTGGCCCCCTCCCAAATCCGACGCCGACTGCGGCGACCCAGCTCGGCGCGACGAGTGCCCGACGACGCCGACGCCGCCGCAGACGACCCCGACGTGCCGACTAGGACCACGATGAGCACGACGACGGACACGCCGACGGCGCCGAACGGCGCCGACGCGGACCGCGACGACGGGCGGCCGCGACGACGACGACGGCCGCCGGAGACACGGCGGTGCGCGGCCCTCTGGCAAAGGAGGGGGATGAGGAGGAGGAGGAGGAGGAGGAGGATGAGGAGGAGGAGGAGGAGCAGGGAGGAGGAGGAGGAGAAGGAGGAGGGGGAGGAGGAGGAGGAGGAAGAGGAGGAAGAGGAGGACCAGAAGAGAGGATGAATGAAGATGATGATGATGATGATGACGATGATGATGATGATGATGATGCTGATGATGATGGTGATGATGGTGATGATGGTGATGATGTGAATGGTGATGGTGATGTGATGGATGATGATGATGAGGATGAGGCTGATGATAAACGATGTTGATGCTGATGATGATGCTGATGCTGATGCTGATGCTGATGCTGATGGATGGTGATGGTGATGATAATGGTGATGGTGATGGTGATGGTGATGGTGATGTGGGTGATGATGGTGATGGTGATGATGATGATGATGATGGAGGAGGAGGAGAGGAGGAGCAGGGAGGAGGAGGAAGACGAGAGGAAGGAGGAGGAGGAGGGGGAGGAGGAGGAGGAGGAGGCGCAGAAGGAGGAGGATGAGGCGGAGACCCCGGCGAAGCCCCGAGAGGACGCGGTGATCTGCTTCGGCGCGCTCGGCGCTGGCGGCCGGGCCGCGCGGCGGGGCGCGGGCGGCGCCGACGGCTACGTCCGGCGCCCGCCTCTCGCGCGGCGCTTCGGCTCGCGCGGCCGCCGCCACCGTCGGCTTGCCGCCGCCGTCGCCGCATGGCCGCCGCCGGCACCGCCCTGCGCGGCGCCGCCTGGCCGCCGCCATCGAGGGCAACGCACGGCAGGCTTTGAGGCTTCGAGGTTTCGCCATTTTCGTCGGCTGGTTCTCGCAGTTTGCCTCAGAGCATCGAGCGAGGCTGGTGTCACCAGCTCCATATCCAGGTCTGTGTGCTTACACCGCGGGTCCGAAGAGCCGTCGCCGCAGGTGCGACCGGGG